CAGAGAGCAGGTCACCTGCCCGTTGACACCGGAGTCGCGGTCGGACACGGAAACAAAAGCAATGACGGTGCTGAGTGGAGTGTCCTCTCTGACCGGCAAAGACAGAGATGTGACTGCCAGTTGTGGAGCATTATCGTTTACATCTAGCACTTTCACTAAAACCTTGCAGTGATTTGACATTGGAGGACTTCCTTTATCAACTGCTTTTACATGAATTTCATAAGATTTTGTTTCTTCATAATCCAGTCTACCAATTAGCCTAATTTCTCCTGAGCTGGAATCAATTTTGAAGTTTTTTTGAATGTTTAGGGGAACATCACTGCCAAAGGAAAAGACAATTTCGCCATTTACACCTTCATCGGCATCAGAGGCGTTTAATGTAGTCACTAATGTTCCATTTGCTGTAGTCTCTAATAAATGGATTCTATACACAGCCTGGGCAAACAATGGGGCATTATCATTAACGTCCAGCACTGTGATCAGCAGCTGAACTGTACCTTCCAGCTCTGGTTTGCCCCCATCAGTGGCCGTCAATAATAAACGAAGTTCTGGTGTTTCTTCTCTATCCAAAGATTTCCTCAATTCAAGTGAAAGTGACTTACTCAGTTCATCACTTGCCTGTACATCCAAAGAGAAATAATCACTGGGGCTGAGGGTATAAGTTATTAGAGCATTGGTCCCAATGTCCGCATCAGCAGCACCCTCTATCGGGAAACGTGAATCCACCAGTCTAGACTCAGGAATAAATAACCTTTGTTCTCTCCCTCTGAAAACCGGTGGGTTATCGTTAATGTCCTTCACCTCCACCTCCACATGGAAAACCTGCAGCGGCCTGTCCACAATTACCTCCAGGTGGATGCTGCACTCCAGATTCAGCCCGCAAAGCTCCTCGCGGTCGATGCGAGAATTCACAAACAAAATGCCATTCTGCAGATTTACTTCCAGAAGGTCCCCACGGCCTTTGGACACCACCCGGAACAGGCGTGGCACCAGCTGTGCCAGCTCCAGCCCCAGGTCTTGCGCGATGCGTCCTACGAAGGTGCCGTGTTTGGCCTCCTCCGGGACGGAGTAGTGGACCTGACCACTCCCAGTCTTCCAGGCTGCGAGGAGCAAAACGAAGAGCAGCAGGCGCTGGGCTCCCTTGCCTCCTTGCCTAGGAAACAGCATCGCAAAACCACTACACCTTTGGTACCGCTCTCACTTCAAAATCATGCTTTCTTTACTTTATATCTTGAATAATATGTCTCCTGTTTTTGTCTTCTCTCAGGCTGTAACAAAATGGAGCTTCCACCCTTAGTTTTTGGTGATCTATACATTAACATTGACAAGACTTTGTGGTATACAGCGACATCATGTGGCTAATGCTGTAGATTGTAGATTCTTCATTGATTTCCAAAATAGGCTATATATTCATTTGCAATGTATTCAATGCAATCACTTTCAATTATGTTTTTTAAAGACTGTACACTCTCACTTAAGAGTATGTAATTCAATACTGTCCTTTAGCAGTGGTCACAAATATATTACAATTAGATTTTGGGAAAATCGAAATATGCACGAATAACCTTACATCTTTTCATTTAAAACAATTTATCAGCTCATGTTTTTATTATTAAATATTTGTAACTGAACACCGGAGCTTTAAAATAAAACACTTTGGCCACTAAAGTTCACCTTATTCTAGGATATTGTGCGTGTTAATTTTTAAAATAATATTACCAGGAACTTACTTATGATATTTTTAGAAATTTTTCTGAAATACATTTAAAATTCTTTCAGTGTTTATGAACAGAGACATCACTTTTTGATACCTGAAATCTTAGAATATTGAAATTTGGGACATTTTCCTTTGTTCTTGTTATATAACATCTAAGTGCTGAACTAATAACTTTCGCCTCTAAAAGTCATTATTCCAAATTAAGTTAGTGTCCCTTGGATCTTTATTCCTATGTCAAATTTTCAGCTGCACATTTTTTTCTTATTAAGTCATTGTCATATGTCAATAAGAATAAAATTAACATTGAATCAATATCAAGTACACATATCTGAGAATATTATAATAATCTGTAGTCAAATTTTTAAATGTAAATCTAAAGTGAAGATTAGGTTTTCAGAAAAAAACTATTCGAGAAAAACCTATTAAACTTCTCTTTCAACTTTAGTGCAATTTATAATCAGAACCCCATAATTACATCAAAATTTGACTAATAAATGTGATCTGAATAAACTATCACAAGTTACTTTAAAAAGGATGGCCTTAACATTTTTACTTCAAGTACCATGGATATTTAAGGATATTAATATAAATCAGGATTCATAAAAGTTCCTAATCAGAAAGCCTAAGTCACTGTTTACTTGATAATTAAAATGTAGATGAAACATGATGTTATTTAAAAAAAAAAACAGATTATAATTTTAATAGCAATTCCAATGTAGTAATTGCCTCATTACAAAGGTACAGGAATATAAGATACATCAGTACCCTCTTATTCTTGAAATGAAGCAAATTCAGAACTTGATACTTTTTTAAATGCTAATAGATTTAGACAATACTGTCAATATTTTAATGTACAAGGTAGTTTAATGTGGTATAAATTTCCTTTTATGCATTTTATTACTATGAAGAATACATAGAATAATGCTAACTGCAATTTGCTGACATTCAGATATTCCAAACATAAAACTGTTGAATTAAATATACTTTGTTTTCTACAGTTAAAAGCTTATTTTGCCTTTTAAAACATATCTCTATTTAACTGAAAACTATAAATTATCATGTTTTAATGTTGGGAATTACAGTGATCTTTAAATATAATCTCAACCATAAGCCATATGGTAATGTTTCATCCTCTTTATTTTGATGAAAATTGTTGGATTTGAATATATTCTCAGTATAAGAAAAATGTCATTTACAATGATCAGATGACACTTAATTGAAACTTAAAAAATAGTTAACCATGGACTGCATTATCATGGTAGTTATTATGAAAATAAAAGGCTACATGATATTATATTCAAGGAAAAAATAAATGCGGACATAAATGACTGGAAATTTTGTTATCAGAGAGAGCTGTTAAAATAGCAGAGTGTTTTTGTATATTATTGAGTTTAAGCTGGTACAAATTCAGAGTACTATAGTTTAAGATATTAAATGCAATGTCCACAGTAAGCACAGAGAAAATAGCTACACCATCCAAACAGACCTATAACTAGTAAAAAGATGAACCAGTAATTTTTAAAAATCTCCTGACAAAGAAAGGCCCTTGCCCAATGGCTTCATTGGTGAATTTTACTAAACACTCAAGAAATAATACTGATCTTTTTCAAGCTTTTCCAAATAGATAAAGAGGAAGGAACACTTTCTTACTCTATTAGGCCATCATTACCCTGATACCAAAGGCAGACAAAGACACTACAAGAAAGGAAAACTACAGATCAACTTCCCTCATGAACACTGATTCCTCCAAAAAAAATCCTCAAAAAAATATTAGAAAACTGAATTCAGCAGCATGTTAAAAGGATTATACACCATGAGCATGTGGGATTTATTTGTGGAGTGTAAGGATGATTCAGTATACATAATCAATGTAATAAGCCACATTAAGAGAATGAAGGAAAAAAACGCATGATAATCTCAATAGATGCAGAAAAGACGTGACAAAATTCAACATTCTTTCATGATAAAAACACTCAGATTCCTAGGAATAGAAGGAAACCACCTCAACATAATAAAATGCCATACATGAAAAACCCACAGCAAACATACTCAGTGGTGAAAGGCTGAAAGCCATTTCTCTAAGATTAGGAACAAAGCAAGGAGACCTGCTTTCACCTTTTCTATTCAACAAAGTATTGAAAGTTCTAGCCAGAGCAAATAACCGCCCTCTCCCCAAAAATGAGGCATCCAAAATGGGAAAGAAGATGTATAATTATCTCTGTTCACAGATGCAATCTCATATATAGAACACCCTGAAGATTGCACAGAAAACTTGAAATTAATAAATGGATTCAACAAAGTGGCAGATACAAAGTCAACACACGAAAATCAGCTGCAACACTATACACTAAAAGTGAACAATTGAACAGGAAATTAAGAAAACAATTTCATTCATAATATCATAAAATACTTAGGAATTAACTTAACCAAGGTGAAAGACTTGTATGATGAAAACAACAAAAGCACTTTTTTAAAAAAGATTATTTATTTATTTTGAGAGCACATGAACACACGCATGCTCAAATGGGAGAGGCAGAAAGAGAGAGGGTGAGAGAGAATCTCAAGCAGGCTCCATGCTGACTGCATGGGGCTCAAACCCACGAACTGTGAGATCATGACCTGAGCCAAAAGTCAAAAGTTGGACACTTAACCAAATGAGCCACCCAGGTGCCCCAACAAAAACATTTCCGAAAGAAATTAAAGAATATATAAGCAAATGCAAAGAGATCTCATGTTCATTGATTGAAAGACTTATTAAGATGTCAATACAACTCAAAGTGATCTATAGGTTTAATGTAATCTCTATCAAAATCCCTATGATTTTTTTGCCGAAATAGGAAATCTCATTTAAAAATTCATATGGAGGGGCGCCTGGTGGCTCAGTCGGTTAAGCGTCTGACTTCGGCTCAGGTCATGATCTCGCGGTCTGTGGGTTCGAGCCCTGCGTTGGGCTCTGTGTTGACAGCTCAGAGCCTGGAGCCTGTTTCAGATTCTGTGTCTTCCTCTTTCTCTGACCCTCCCCTGTTCATGCTCTCTCTCTGTCTCAAAAATAAATAAATGTTAAAAAATAAAAATAAAAAATAAAAAAATTTTCATATGGAATCTCAAGGGACTTCAAACAGCCAAAACAATCCTGAACAAGAACAAAGCTGGAGGACTCATACATCCTGATTTTAAAACTTATTACAAAGCTCCTGTAGTCAAAATAGTGTGGCCTAAAGACACTGGCCTGAAGACAAACATAGACCGATAGAATAGAGATTCCAGAAATAAATCCTCATATATAAATAAGGTCAAATTATTTTCAACAAAGGTGTCAAGTGTGTTCAATGGGAGAAAAAAGAGTCTTTTCAACAAATGTTGATGGGAAAACAGGATGCAAAAGAATGAAGTTATAACCTTACCCAACACTACATACAAAAATGAACTCAAAATGGATCCACGACCTAAATATAAGACTAAAATTATGAAATTCTTAGAAGAAAATATAGGGCAAAAACTGCATGACACTGGTTTTGGCAGTGATTTCTTGAATATGATATCAAAGGCATAAGCAACAAAACAAAAGATAGGCAAATTAGACTTCATAAAAATAAAAAATATTTTCAAGGACTTACACTTTCTAGTTCTGAATGTAAGGAGCTTGGAAATCACCACTCCATTTTGACAAGTTAAAAGCTGAACAGACTGGAAAACCAACAACTCTTGTTGGATGTGTAAAAGTTGGGTGGATGAGAGGACACTGGGAAAATCAATGACCCAAAGATAAGAGAGTCACAGGGAGATATAGGGAGTCACAACTTACTGGTACAGAGACTCAAGAGGAGAAACCACTATGGTAATCAGTGCTGGAGTAGGGAAATCTGAACTATAATTGATGAATCACTGGAGACTTAGTATGGAGAAGTCTGAGAATTGAAAACTCCAGGGGGAAACAGTCATGGAATCGTGATATTTTGAGATTTACCTCCAGGAACATGGACAGACTCCCACAGAGTCTGAAAGAGAAAAATCCTCTCATGCTTCTGGCAGTGGGAGCAGAAAAGGAACCATTTTGAAATATCCAGAGCATTCTGCTCTTCTTATAAAGAGTCTCCGTGAGGGGAAACTAATTAATGAGAGGCTAACCTATTGAGTTATTATCAGAGCTTAACTGTTCTGAGGGAAGGAAAATATCCAGCTCCAGAAGGCTCTAGCTTTCCATGAGGGAAAGGGAAAATACCCAATTCCAGTACACTGTAACCATCCTGTTTCACCTGGGGGTGGGGAGCAGTGAGAAAACTTGGGAAGTTCACAGTCCAGAAGCATATGCTCAATAAAAGATTGAAACCTGGGGCGCTTGGGTGACTCACTCAGTCAAGCGTCCGATTCTTGATTTTGGCTCAGGTCATGGTCTTGCAGTTGTGAGATCAAGTCCCACATATGGCTCCACACTGATAGCATGGAGCCTGCTTGGGAGTCTCTCTCCTCTCTCTGCCCATTCCCCCTCAAAGTAAATTAAAACAAAAAGTTAAAAAGATTGAAACCTCATCACAGAAATGTAGAATGTCTCCCCTCTCTGCACTCCTCACTACCATACTATTACAGGAACATGATAGCAGTCTCTTCTACCCAGCACATCTGTCCAGCTATCAAGAAAAAATTACAAGACATATCAAAAGTCAAAAACAAAAACAAAATACAACTCCACAATTCAAAGAGACAGAATGAATATCAGAACCATATATGGCAAGGGCGTGTTTTAATTATCAAACCAAGAATTTACAACTATGATTAATATGCTCAAGGCTCTAATGAATAAAGTAGATGACAGCATTAAGGACAGGGGGGCAATGTAAAGAGGGAAATGGAAATAATAAGAAAGAACCAAAAAGAAATGCTAGAGATAAAAACACTGTAACAGAAATAATAATTTTATTATTATTGATTACATCTCAAATGTCTTTGATAGAATCATTAGTTGACTGGACATGGGTAAGGAAAGAATCTCTCAGTTAGAAGATATATAAATAGAATCATCAAAGACCAAAAAGGTAAGAGAAAAAAAGAATGAAAAAACAGAATAGAATATCCAATGATTGTGAAACAACTACAAATGGTATAACATATACATAACTGGAATACCAGGAGAACAAAGAGATAGGAACAGAAGAAATATTTGAAATAATAATGACTGAGAATTTCCCTCAAATTAATAGCAGACACCAAATCACAGATCTATGCAGCTCAGATAATTTAGGACTATAAATGATTTTAAAAAATCTACATAAAGGCATATCCATTTCAAACTACAGAAAGTCACATATTTTCTGAAATCTGTGTCCTGAAAGAAGCCAGAAGGAAATAACACCTTACCCCTTGAGGAAAAAAAGATAAGAATTACACCTGACTTCTCAGAAACCATGAAACTTCTTTAGCATGATAAACAGTATCCATGACAAACCTATAGCTAACATTATACTTAATTGTGAAGGATTGAATCCCAGTTTTTACCCTAAGACTGGGAACAAAGCAAAGAACTGAACTCACTACTCTTGTTTAGCCTACTGCTGGAAGATTTAGCCTGTGCAATAAAGAAAAAAAAAAAAAAAGAGGAGGGAGGGAAATAAGAGGCACACAGATGAGAAAGAAAGTAATAAAATTGTCCTTATTTACAGATGACATAAATGTGTACATTAAAATCTCAAGGAATCAAAAATAAATAAATAAATGAAAACTCCCAGAGTAAGTGAATTTGGCAACATCACAAAAAAATAAGGTAAACATACAAAATGAATTGTACCTACACATACTAACAGTGAAAATATACACACCAAAATTAAATTTGAAATATAATTTACATTCACATTCACTCAAAAAATATATTTAGGTATA